CTCACATCTCAGCCATTGAAAAGGCACTACATTTCAAACTCCCAGTTTACTCCAATGGATTTTTCATTTATAACAAGCCCCTCCCAATTTCCCCCTTTTACTCCATAAAAGAGGGTTCCTCTCCTTTGCTCTCCCACTTGCTTAGGGCTTTTGCTGTAGCTTGCTTGTCCCAAATTGCAATTCCTCTTCAATTCCTGAATAAACTCATTTTGCTGGGAAGAAAACCTGACTGTTGTAAGGTCAACAGGATGATAACCTAATGATCCTTTATCAGCGTGAAGGGCTTCACTGATCCTGTGACAGTCTATAACTAGGATAGGGCAAGTATTATTTTCCCCATTTGTATATGAGGAAGCATATTGAGGAGGTTATTAGGCATGAGGAAGACATTATTAGACACCAGCACAGGTCTTTCCACTTGAGGATCAGCACTCCTTCAAGTAGTGAGATGTCCAGCCTTGAAGTGTGTGATGGGAAACACAGGACTCCATGTCAGATTGGTGTGTGTGTGTGTGCGTGCGTGCGTGCGTGAACAATGGTGAAAGAACAAGATGAACTCTGTGGACTTTATGATCCTGGTTCAATCAGTTTTACAAAAAAGTTTTTTTATGATAAAATATATATAGACAGTCCCAGACTTATGATAGTTTGATTTATGATTTTCCTACTTTATGATGGTGTGAAAGTGATACACAGTCAGTAGAAACTGTACTTCAAATTTTGACTATTGCTCTTTCCTCAGGTCGGTGATATGCAGATACCCTCTTGCGACACAGAGCACTAACAGCGAGCTCTAACACCCACCAGCCACACGATCAACACACTCACCACCCTCTGTAACCATACAAGTGTTCTGGGTTTTTTTACTTTCAGCACAGCATTCAATAAATTACATAAGATATTCCAGACTTTATTATGAAATAGGCTTTGTGTCCAATCATTTGCCCAACCGTAGGCTGATGTTAAGTGTTCGGAACACATTTAAGTTCAGCTACACTAAGCTATGATGTTCAGCATTTTCTATTCAGGATATTTTCTTTTCTTCCCCCCCAAGATTGATTTATTCATTTGAGAGAGTGAGAGAGTGAGAGCACATGAGTGAGGGGAGGGGCGGAGAAAGAGAGTCTCAAGCAGACTCCACGCTGAGCGCAGGGCCTGACGCGGGGCCCAATCTCACAACCCGGAGACCAGGACCTGAGCCAAAACCAAGAGTTGGACGCTCAACCAACTGAGCCACCCAGGAGCCCCTTGACTTCAGGTATTCTCAATTTATGATGAGTTTATCAGGACATAATCCCATCATAAATGGAGGAAGATCTGTATAAAGTGATATTTAACATTTTAATCATTTTTAAGTGTACAGTTCAGTGGCATTAAGTGCATTCACAATGTTGTGCAACCATCACAAATAGACTACTGTCTATTTTCAAAACTTGTTTGTCATCCCAAACTGAAACTCTGTGCCCATTAAACAATAACTCTCCATCCCCACCCCCGGCCCCTGAAAACCACCATTCTACTTTCTGTCTCCTTCAATTTAACTACTCCAGATGCCTCATATGAATGGAATCGTACAATATTTGTCCTTTTGTGTCTGGATTATTTCACTTGGCAAAATGTTTTCAAGGTTCATTCATACTGTAAAGTTTAACAGAATTTTACTCCTTTCTAAGGCTGAACAATATTCATTGTATATATATATTACATGATATTGTAATATATATATTACATAGATATTGTAATATATACACATTGTAATATAGTAATATAGATACATTGTAATATGTATTATAATATATATACATTGTAGCATATGTTACATATATTACATATATATTATATATATGTACATATATTACACTTTGTGTATCTATTCATTGTTGCCACGGTTCAATCTTGCTAGCAAAAGACACCAGCCTCCTTCATCAGAAGTATTTTTCCTTTTAGGCTGCCAGCCCCAAGATCAAAATATACCAGCATCCTTTCTCCTCACCCAGGGAGGCTCCCCCTGTACAAACAGGGCTGTCTGCACAGAGAACTACCTACTTGGGATCAGATCCCATTGTGAGGACCTGACTTCCTAGACGTTTCTAGTCTTCTAGAAGACAGTACTGTGTGAGGGCCAGGCACTAGAACTTCTCTTCCCTTAAGGAACAGAAATGGCAAAAATGTTCCAGGTCCTCTTCTTTCCCCGAACTCAGAAGTGTAGCTCAGCTGTTGCAGTTGCCTGGGCAGGGGAGTGAGAGAGAGGTGGCCCGTGGGGAGCAGCCACAGTCTCTCCCTTGTTTCACTCACAAGATCTCCCAAGAATCCGCTGTCCTGCGTAGCCATCGGCTGCTAAAAGCCAAAACAGGGCGGTGTGGCCACCTGTTGGGCACTGGGGGTGGTACAGCCTTGGGGCGAAGGAAGGGACTTGCAGGCTGAGATTGCTTCAAGGAGAAGCTAGATAAAAGCCCAAATAAAAAACCAAACCAAACCAAAAGCAGCCCCTACATCCGGACGATGGAATTTTATTTTCAGTGCTTCAAAGAAATGAGTGATCGAGCTGTAAAAAGACATGGAGGAAACTTAAATGCAAATTAGCCTGTGAAAGCAGTCAATCTGAAGAGGCTCCATACTGTATGATTCCAAGGATAGGACATTCTGGAAAAAGATCAGTTGTTGCCAGGGATTGGGAGGGGCAGGGAGAGAGAGAAGGATGCAAAGGTTGAGCACAGGGCATTTTCAGAGCAACGAGACTACTCTGTATGATCCTATAACAATGGATACATGTTGTCATACGTCTGTCAGAACCCATGGAATGCACAGCCCCAGGAGTGAACCTTAATGAAAACTGTGGACGCGGGCTGATCATGATGTGTCAGAGCGGATTCATGCACTGGGACAGATGCACCATTCTGGTGGGGGGGGGTGTTGATGGTGGGGGAGGCTGTGCGTGGAGGGGGGAAGGAGGGGAATATATGGGGCCAGGGGGTATATGGGAACTCTCTGTACTCGCTGTTCAATTTTGCTGTGAACTTAAAACCACTCTAAAATGTAAAGTCTACTAAAAAACAAAACAAAACAATAGCATCCCCAGATTTGCCACCTGGCTCTTCACACCAGCAACACAGTTCCAGGCTCAGAAAGTCCAGCTCTCCCCTCAGGAGAGCTCACAGCCCCTTTTTCTCTTCTGATGCTTCTTTTCCCCCGTGGGCAGGAACAACAGGCATTCCTTTGCCTTTTAGTGAAGTAGGGAGAAGCTCTCTGGAGTCCTACAGGTCCTCACTTCCACCCCAGCTTAAATGTCACCTCCTCATGAGGTCTTCCCTGACCACCCTAACCCCCAGCCTCTGCCCCACCCATCATCCCATCTGGCTTTCTGCCCAGCACTCGTCACTACCTGAACATATAGCTACTTGCTTACTTATTTCTTTTACACTGCCACCCAATGGCATGTAAGCCCCACCAAGGCTGAGACTGTCCCTAGTGCTCACAACAGTGGGTGGCCCAGGGCAGGAGCTCAACAAATGTTCGTTGACGGACTGAATAATTATGTTACTGGCCAGTTGCAGAACCAGGGGCAAAAGGCAGTTAAACTTCCCTGGGCCCCAGTTTCCCCAACTGTAAAATGGGCACTTAGACTTCATGATGGCGCTCTCTTCTTGCTGCAGTGCTCTGAATGCTCCAGCAAGCGTCAGAAGGACCTTGTTAGTCCACTAGAGTGCTTCTGCCCAGGCCACTGGGTGGCTGCGAGGTACTCAGGAAGAGAATTCCTAGTGGCCCAACGTCACCTGACCTCCTCGGCTGGGTTTGTGGATATGGGCAGAGGTCCAAATGTGTGCTGGATGGATTGAGGTGTGGGGGAACCCCTCCCCTAGAATGCAAACTCCAAGACAGCAAGGATCTTGGGTTTTATTTGTTTGCATATCCCATGTGCTGGGAACAGTGCCCGGCACACAGTAGGCTTCATAGTTACTGAGGGAGTGAAGCGAACACACTCAGCGCCTGTGTTTCCCTTCTTGGGTGAGTGTTGCTTGGGTCATGTGTGGCATGAAAACAGCAATAATCATCCCTTCCATTGATGGAGCCCTCCGCAAAGCATTTATATGTGCATCATCTCACATGCTCCTCATGACAACCCCATGAGATAAGTCCCATTAAGTGTTATTATCCCCAATTTACAGATGAGCTGAGGCTCAAGGCATTTGACCTGCTCAAGGCCACATAGCTGGTGGACGGCAGAGGCTGATCTCAGAGCCAGGTTTTCTTTTGTTCCAGACCCAGTGCTTGTATATGTTGCCGGTTGTGCAAAGCTCTGAGTGTGAGCAGGAGAAGGAAGACTTGTGTAAGAGCCAGGCCCTGAAGAGAGAAAAGGGGCAAGAGAGAGGAGCGCTGCTTACACTGGGGGGCTGCTTGGGGCTGAGCCCGTGCCTGCTGGCTGAGGGTGGGGGCTACGAGAGCAGCAGGGGGACGGGGCAGAGACGCCCCTCCACTCCATCAGTGGCCAGGGACCCCGTGCAGGGAGCTCCTGGGGAGACTGCTAGCCTCATGTAGGCACGCTGCCCCGCAGGCCCAGACACGCAGGGCTCCAGACAGGGCCTTCAGAGGGCACAGAAACCAAGGATGTGGGCGAACTGGTTTGAGGAACACAAAAGCCAGCTCAAGTCTTCTTCCCTTTCCCGCACAAGGCGCGTACCTGCCCCTCACCCCTACACCAAGGAGAGCTCTTCATTGCCCAGCTCCAAATCTCACTGACTTCACCAAAATCACTTATATGTCACCCCAAATCATACCTACACACACGCACATACACACACACACCAGAGTGCCACCCAGATTCCTCCCCATGGGAGCCCCCAAGCAGAGCCCTGTCCTGCCCTCACCCACCTCCACCTGTAGAAACCTTTTGTACCCATCCTGCAGAATCTTCTCCGCTTTCTGGGCCTAAGGTGCCTTCCCTCTCCCGCACTCCAAAGCCCACTGCAGGTCCTCTGCCCTGGCTCTGACCACCGGAGACTTCCGTCCTGTTTATGCATATGTGACAGCTTACCCCCACCCCAGCTGCCAACTCCCTGAGGGTAAAACTCAAGCCCGGTGCTGGGCCTGACCTGGTGCAGGGGTCACAGAAGCTGCCAGCTTGCATCAGCCCACGCCCACGCCAGGGAGCTCGGGGTGGGGGTGGGGGGAACAGCCTCACACCTCCCCGAGGCCTTGCCCCCAGAAGCCACGAGGCAGCGATGAGGACATGGGGCAGGGAGGTGGGGTAGAGGCCAGGACATGTGGCGGCCCACGCACTTGCCTGTGTTAGTCACGGAGGGCGCCCAGCAGAGCAGAAGTCATCTCTAAAGCTGGCGCAAGCGGGACAGGTGGGAAGAGGGAGGGCTCATCTGCAAAACCAGTGGGAAGAGGCACTGGGTCAAAATGTCCCTCTCTTGCTGGAGGGGCGGTTTTCCTTCTGGGCTCCTCGGCAAGACCTGAAATAGCGAGAGGAGGGAGGTCCTGATCAAGCGCAGGCTGATAATCTGGGTTTGCGCCATTCATCAATGCGTGCTGAGCCCCACGACCTGCCCTCCTGCTCTGTGCAAGACTCTAGAACTTGGATTCTACCTTCCTGCTTCAGAAGGAGATTCCGATGCAACTTTCTCTGTCTACCCTTCTGGAAATGGGTCCCAGAGCTCACCAATCAGATGGTTATTACCACCAAGTGTGGCTCATAGTTACTTATTGATCACGTATTCATTGATTGCCTACTCTCCCAGGCCTTGGGCTAAGGACTTCACACATGTTCTCATTTACTTCTTGGGTGGCTCCCAGAGATGATTCTGGTGGCTACTGTAGGGAAGGGGCAATTCTGACCAAATGCCCCGACTTGCCCCAGACCGTCCCATTATATGTCTGTCGTCCCAGCAGCACCATCCACAGAGCCCCCTCTCGCTCTCAGAAGTGACCTGGCGTGGAAGATAAATGATGGGTCCAGGGGATTCTCCCCAGTCTGTCACAGGGGAGTGGGGTGTGATGCATCAGGCTCCCCAGAGGGGCACCTGGGCCTTGAGAGGCAGACACTAGAGGGCGCCAGTCAGTAGTGCCTGGCCCCCGAGTCTCCAGAGTGCCTGGCAGCCCTGGGCAAGGCCACTCTAGGGGAACAGAGGTGGTAGGTGGGGTGGGGGGAAGGAGAGGGGGAGAGGGGGGAGGGTGCCCGACAGAGCCCTGGCTGAGGCCTTTCCTGGCCTAGACCCAGCCTGGCCCAATTCCTCTCATGCCCCCCATCCACCCAGCAGAGCTCCTGAGCAGGCAGAGCCCCCTCCCCAGGGGGACCTGGGAATCCTATGAGGGAAGAGGGGTGCTGGCACTGTTTGCCTTCTCCCCCATTTTGGCTTGGCCAGGCCCCTGCCAGTCTCTCCCCCAGGATCTCGGGCACAGTGTGGTTCACCCTGTGCTGGAGACCTCTCAGACCACGGGGCCAGCTCTCCTGATGGGCTGGGACTGGGCTGTATGGAGGTGGCTGTTCTGGAAAGAACGATCAGGTGTCAAGGAAACTCCACAGCCCAACAAGAGCTGGGGGTGGGAATGGGGAGGGCAGGAGGCAGAAGGTGGAAGGGCTGATAAGAGTACTTGGTTAGGGGTGGGGGCCTGCCTTCTCCTCCTTGACCTACCCACACTGGCCTTGAGAACTCAGGCACAACGCTCAGGCCTCAGTGTTCCCAGAGGGGCCGGAAGGCTTGCGACCCACAAAGAGCCTACTTCTCACCATTCTGGCCTGGCCACTGCCCCCATGCAGCACTCGGCCCTGCGATCGCAATCGGACACAGGATTGGCCTCCGGGGGCGGGGGGGGCACACTCTTCCCATTTAGACAAAACCCTGGCCCTGGCATGGATGACTCCCCTCCAGCCGTGGACTATTAAAAGTGCTTGGGTGTCCAACAGACTTGGGCCCGGTTGCAGCCCTGACATTGGTAGCTGTGTGATGCTGGGCACATCATTTAACTTCTCTAAGCCTCAGGTGACTCACCTGCAAAAGGTAGTAAGAGTATCCATTTCTTAAGGCCGGTGTGACGATTCAAGGCAATAAAGAACAGAAAGAGCACAGCTCCGCGCCCGGCGCCCAGGCAAGCTATGCTCCCAGTGGAGGAGTCTCCAAGCAGCACGAGCATGGCCCTGCAGCCCCAGCTCAGCCTCCGCTGTCGTGGGAGTTCTTGCCTGCAGGAGAAAGACAGAGACGGGCTTGAAAATGCACTGTGGTCCACACGGTCCACACAGTGGAATCTTCTATGAGACAGTGACATCCATGGATGTAGGCAGCCGTGGATGCCTCAGTGCTAACAGTTTCAACCTTTTAAAGATTCATTCATTCATTCATGTATTCGTTAGTCCCAAATTACAACTGTTGTCCTGACATAATTATTACTGTCCCCCTTTCACTCTTGAAGTGTCCCAGTTTGGATGATAAATTATATGATCACCCAACTTACTGTGGCAGATCCTGTGCCAGGCACTGGGGACCAGGAGAAGATAAGGTATCCAGCTCCTCCCCTCCAGGGCTTCCCTCCAAGGAGGCACAGGGATGCAGTGTGAGAAGGAGGGGCTGGGGCTGCTGCTGTGTGGCCAACCAGTGTCCCCCTGCCCCTTAAGAACCTAGCAAGAAACGGGGCACCTGGGTGGCTCAGTTGGTTGCGTGTCCAACTCTTGGTTTCGGCTCAGGTCATGATCTCAGGGTTTTGGGATTGAGCCCCGTATTGGGCTCTGTGCTCAGTGGGGAGTCTGCTTGAGATTCTTTCTCTCCCTCTCCCTCTGCCCCTCCCCCCAGTGGTGCGTGTGCTCTCTCTTTCTCTCTCTCAATAAATAAACAAATAAACAAAATCTTTTTTTTAAAAAAGAACCTACAAAGAAACATACTTTGATTTATCTACCCTTTTTGGGTTTATTTAGTTTTACTTATTTATAAACCAACTTCTTGGGGCCAATTCTTGCCATACATTTTCCACCCGATACATGAGGTCGTGGTCTTTTTATTCATCATGATATTATTTTTCTCCAGCCTCAGAAGCTGCCTTCTATTCAAATATTTGTGGTATTTTTTAAAAAAGAGTTACAAATATCCCATCTGTTCTCTGATCCTATAAACATCAATTTTCCAGAAACAGGGTCCTAATTTATTTTTTCATTCTCATGGAAAAGTACGTGACGGGAGAATAGGAGTGATATACAAAGGCATACTCTGAACGGCCAGCCCCTCCTTACTCATGCCAAAACACAACCCAACAGTTCAGGAAATGCGGGGAGTCTTAGGAAAAAGGAAAGGAGGGGCAAAAGGAGACAAAAAGAAATGGAAGAGGCAGTGATGTCTCTGGGGTTGGCCAGGGCTCATGGCTGGAGCAGTCACCTTTGGGCTCCTGCCTGATCATCTGCATTGGGTTGGGGGAGGGTGATTGCCCTCCCCAAGGGATGGTAGGCAACCAGGCATGAGCGTGTGGGCGAGGGTGGTGTCTCCTTCACACCCATGCCAGGACCAGAGATGCCTTGGTATGTGGCCAAAACCTTCTGCCAGATTCCACACCCCATGCCAAAAATCCTCCTCCTTCCCCCACCTGTGTCCTCCCAGGTCCCCCCTCCGTTAGCTGGAGAGCATGACAGTCCCTCGTCTACAACGGTCTCTGTGTCTGTCCAACCCTAGGTGTCCCACAGGAATTGCATCTGTCCCACCTTTCATCTGGGGACAGAGCTCAGGATTCTACCTCACCATTGCCCAAGAGTCATAACTGGGTGAAAATCATGACAATACACGGGTCCTGGGGGAGTGTTGCCTTATTTAGATGTGCCACCCCCGGAGAAGGAAGAAAAGGAAGGAGGGGGAGGAGCTGCAAAGCTGACAGGAGCGAAAGGAGAAGAAGAAGGCATGGGTGATTCTGAGAATTGAGGGTAGCTAGGGATGTCATCACGGGGAGGGTTTCACCCAGGTCAGTGGGTGGGGGCAAAGCATGGTGACTGGGGCCCTGTGACTCAGTTATGAGCCTGGCCCCTATATCCACAAGTCGTTCATTGAATAAGTCATTAATTCCGTCAACACATGTTTATTGAGCTGTTACTATGTTCCAGACCCTGGACTAGGCAGCAGGGAGGGAGAGAGCCGGCAGGGAGGGAAGTTCCCCTGCAGAGTGTAGGTGTGCAGGGGTTGGGGGGAGGGACAAGCCTCCTTTCAGAGGGAGCTGCCAGGGAAGATGCCTGGTGAGGGAAGGGGAGGGTGGGGAAGGGACGTCTGGGATAAGTCCCCGTGGGAGGAGAGTAGGCAGGAGCCAGACAGAGGGAGGGGAAGGAGGGAGGGGTAGGGAGTTTTAGGCAGAGGAAGGAGATCCATGCTTCAAGGCACGGAGGGTGGGAGGGGAGGTTTGGGGAACTGTCAGTAGTTCCTGAGAGGGTGAAGGGAGAGGCGGGGAGAAAGGAGCTTGAGGAGGTAAGGGAGGCAGGTCCTAAAGGAGTTCAGAGGCTACTTATAGGCAGTGAGGCCCCCTGGAGGGGAAAGCCCGGGACAGTGTGGTCAGATCCCCCCTTGGAAGAGGAGACTCTTCATGGGGTTAAGCAAGTGGCTGATAGACCAACGCCGGGTTTGCTCAAGAGACAGGACAGGGTTCAGTGATGGAGCTCTAGAGGGGTCCGGCCGGGGCTGGAGGCGCACACATCACCCACGCCACCCTCCAGCGACCCGCAGAGGTCGACCCGACGGCCCCCAACGGACGGAGGGAACGCGGCAGAGCCAGAAGCAGAAGCCAGGGCCGTCCGAGCTGCCAAAGCCAGCCAGCACGAGGCCTCCTAAGGGCCTCCCGCTCGAACTCACCTTCCACGGTATTTAGCAGCTCCTCCTCGGCCACAGCCAGTGGCACAGGGTGCCCCTAAAAACGGGCAGGCTTCACTGTGAAGTGGGGCCCACCCAGCCTGGTCCGTTCAGCCATGCCCTCTCTGATCCCACTGCAGGTCCCGCAGCCCCGGCTCCCTGAGTCAAGGGCTGGGCAACTCCTAGCTGTGTGCTGTCTCCCTGCCTCCAATCCCCATAATCTGGGCGAAGCTCCCGGGGCTCCCTCCGGAGGGAATTGAAGCCAGGTCCTCCTGTAGGCCACAGCCCACCAAGATGACCCTCCCCCCTGGAATTCTCTTGTACAAATAGGAGCCCCAGGTGAGAACCATGAGGATGGGCCCCTGGATGCCAGGAGATGGCTTCTGTGTGAGCAATAGCAGTGTCCCCCTCGTTCGGACCCACGGCGGTTCCTGCTCACACAGAAGGAAGGAAAGACCATTTCCACGTGGCCCAAGGTGCCAACATTGCCAATTATTTCCTCGCCGGCAATAAATCCCCAAATATATTTTTGCTTCCCCCTCTAACGTTTAATCTTGGGTATATTTCAAAGGAAACGCCACTCTGCCTGCTTCTGATTCATACCCGCTGAGCTCATCAAAACCAGAATTATTTTGTAATAGCTGTTGGGTTTACTGGATGTCCTCTGGGATCTGTAAAAAATCTCTGTTCCTCAGAAACAGGAAGTTTCGACAGGAGGACAGAGGCTGGTTACGAAAATCAAAATTTGAATTCGCTCTGCCCATTGGAGAGGCTCGGTGTTCGTGGCATTTCCTTCCTTCAGCCCATCGACGATCATGGATTCGGTGCCTACTTTGTGCAGCAGCTAGGACCCCGACGGTGATTTTTTAGAAGGGGACTCTGAATTCATTTGAAGGGCTTCCATAACAGGCTGGATGGCTTAAACACGGATATTTATTTTCTCACAGTTCTGGAGAGAGACGTCCAAGATCAAGGGGTCTGCAGGGTTGGGTTTTTTGGTTTGTTTTTTGAAGGCTTGTAGGTGGCTGCCTTCTCCCTGTGTCTTCTCGTGGTCTTCCCTATGTGTGTGTCTGTGTCCTCATCTTTTCTTGTAAGGACACCAGTCCCATTGGATTGGGGCCCCTATGACCCGCTTTAACTTAATTACCGCTTTAAAGACCCTATCTCCAAATTCAGTCACATTAGGACTTCAGCATATGAATTGGGGGAAGGGGAACACAATTCAGCTGATAAGAGGTTCTGATCTCAAAAAGTCATCCTCCCATGACAATGTCCCTTTGATCTCTATCTGAGGTTAGCATCCGAGGTGAGGTGGTTTAGGATGGAATCCCCAGGCTGTTGTAGGCTTACCGAAGGCAGGATGATTCAGCTCACTGAGCGCTGAGCTGTCGGATCTGGATTCAAAGTTTGCCTCCTTCACTCACAAGTTGGGTGCTGTTGCCCAAGTTATACAACCTCTGAGATCTCCGTTTCCTTGTCTGTGTAGTGAGGATAATACTACCTGCCTCAGGAGGAATTTTTGTGAAGAGCCGAAAAGGTCATTCATGTGAAACAGAGCACCATGTCCAGGAGCATAGTAGGTGCTCACGAAATGGAAGTTTCTTTTCCAGATGTGTTCTCTGCAGGGTTTCTTCTTCCAGGGCATGAAGGCCGTATTACAAGCATTCTCTGGCAGGGGGAGTGTACCAGGAGATGGAAGAAACTCAGGCCTGGGGTGCCTTCCCCCCATCCCTCCCTTGGAATACATCGCCCACCCAAGGCAGCCAAGCCTCAGAGCTGGAGGAGGGAAAAATGGTCTGGCATTGAACCTCCCCAGGAACACCCACTGCCGGCACCTCTGTGAGAGCGTGCTGTGAGAAAGCCGGGGACAACTGTCCGGGCCAGGCTAAGTGCAGCTGTGAAAAGCAGATCTTGCAGAAAAAACCAAGTCCAAAGGCTGGCAAAGCCCTCTGGTCACAGGAAGCCCTCCCTGTCCAGAGGTGTAGGTTCTGGACTAGTCAAGGCATTTGGGTTCTACTCCCATCCCTGATATTTCCCAGGGCTGGGACATTAGCACTCACCTGACCTCTCTGCGCTTCAAGGCGCTCAGAGGGACACATGAAACCATGTCAGACAAATGTGAGTTCGTAGATGATTAGTAAGTCCCAGAGCCGCTGTACCAGCACCCCTCCTCTGGGCTACCACACTTTCTCAGCTGCTTGGGGCTGAAGGGGGAAGTCCCTGTCGCTCTGGTTTCCAGTTTCCTTAAACCTCCAGCATTTACACACACAGCCCCCATATGAAAGCAGATTAAGAATGCATCCCTCCTCAAAAAGAGGAGCCTTCCCAGATTTGGAGTAAGAGTGATGAGGGCTCGTCTGGGCCCCATTGCCTCTCAGACATCTCCTGCCCCCACCTGGGAGCCCTCCCCCCCCTTCCCCCCCCAAATTACTCACACTCCTGGAAACATGACTGATGACTTCGGGATGAGTAAGAGGCAGCGCACGTCATGGCCCAACTGTTGGCAGGGTGAGTGAGTTCAATGCTCCCTGGAGCCAGGCTGCTCGGACATGTGCTGGGAGTCCGCTCTGGGGGAAGAGGGGCAGGGGACCCTAGAGAGGAGCTAGGCTTTATTTAGCAATGAGCTAGAAGTCCTCTGACCATTCCCCCCTTTCCCAACCCCCGAGTGATGATGGCCTTGTCAGCTCAGGGTGAGGGGGTGACGGGAACTGTCCCAGCGCCTCTTTGGGGGGCCTGGACAGTGGGGGCAGGGGCTCTCACGGAGCTCCAGGACACTGTGTTTCTCTCACCTGAGCACCCCTGGCCTCGCCCCAGCACAGCGTGGCCCAGGGCAACCCTGAACTTGGCAGCCCAGCCTCAACAGCTTTGAAAGGGCCCCAATCCAGGGCCCGACCTACAGGGTGCGTGTGTGTGGAGGGTGTGTGTGTTTACATTCTCTTGTACACCCTAATCCGTGGTGCCAGACAAGCAAATATTTTCGGTCTGTTTTCCATTTCCCATGTGTCCCATTTCTGAGCATTTGGCAGAAATGGGATCACAGCAAAGGCGTGTATGAATTCAGTGCGTTTTGAAATGCCTATTTTTACATTCTTGGAGTTCAGGTGCAGGCTGAACATGCTAATATAAGCACGACAGCACGTAAACTGGACTGTCCTGGCACTTAATAAATAGGGCCGAAGCACCCAGTTCCCCATACCCCACGTGGGTGTGGTCAGGACACGATGGCATGGAGAGAAACACGGGGACGCAGAAGCCTGAGGCAGCCCCACCTCAGTGTCCTCTGCAGCCAGGACAAGACGGTGTCCTCACTCTGAGCCGCCGCTCCCCAGACAATCACTCCTGTGTGGGGAACAGTCCTCACCCCCGGGCTTTGCTCCATGAGGATACTGAGGTGTTGCTGGGGACCCACCGTGATGTCCTTCGAAATGCTCAAGACAAGAGCCATGCCTTAAATGTAAGGACTTCATTAAGGTGTTTCAGGACATATGGTGGCCTTGGTGGAGAACTCCGGAGAACATATGGTGAGGATGACTTGTTTGATGAAGTCTGAGATCCTAAATGCTGGGGCTGGAACACAAGTGAGGCTGGCAGCCCAACTGGCCACACCCCACCCCGATCCCTCCCAGGCAGCCTTCTCCATTAGGAAGGATGGGTCCTCTACCCAACACACCCCCACTCTTTATTAACATTAGACTTAGTCATTTATTTATTTTTTAAAAGATTTTATTTATTTAGAGAGAGAGCTGAGTGGAGGGGCAGAGGGGGAGGGAGAGAGAATCTCAAGCAGACTCCGTGCTGAGTGCAGAGATCGAGCCGGCCTCGGGGTGGGGCAGGGCTCCATCTCACGACCCTGAAATCATGACCTGAGCCAAAATCAAGAGTCTGGACGCTTCACCCACTGAGCCACCCAGGCGCCCCATCATTAGACTTAGTCATTTAAATGTAGTTTGTTAAAAGATCCATACATAAAGCCAAAATACATCTTTAGCAGTAAACTCAGAGATGTTTAAGAGATTTCTTTCTTTTCCCATAACTCAGCTGAGACACCTTTGCCGCCAGAGCGGCAGAATATTAATCACAGTCGATTCATGATCCCTCCTCCTTAGCATCCTGACTGATTTTCTGGAGGTTTACAGAGAGCCAAGGCACTCGGGTGACTTTCCTCAAGGCCACTTGGCCAAGCCTTTGCTGGGACGGCCATTGTTTCGCCCACAGCTTTAGGCCACAGGGAGGGCCCAGCATTCATTCTGCTGCTCCAGGGCCATCAGAGATTGGAGGGGGGGCTCTGCTGCCCCATGCCTCCCTGAGGTCTCCATGGCTCCCGAGATCCTGACCCCAGATTTAGGAGTGCGTATTTGCTCTAATTCCTTCTACACTGCCTAGGGGATTTTTCTCTAGTTTTAGAAGTGCTGTTAACTGGAAGTAGAGGGCGGGAAGGAATGGGTAGTGCTCTCTAGCATGCTGTTTTCCCCAAACTTTATGTCTCTATTCCCCTAAGGACTTAGGTTTTCAAAACCAAAGCCAGAAAGGCATCCCCCCCTTTTTTTTTCTGCCCTGCATCTTGGGATTGCACTCACGTGCCTTTGGCAATCAGCAAATGATTGCTTGAGTGGTGTAAAGGACAAAGGATAAATACTGGAGGGAAGGGGCTGGTATTTCTTTTTTTTTTTTTAAGATTTTATTTATTTATTTGACAGAGAGAGAGAGAGAGCAGGAACACAAGCAGGGGGAGTGGGAGAGGGAGAAGCAGGCTTCCCGCCGAGCAGGGAGCCCAATGTGGGACTTGATCCCAGGACCCTGGGATCATGACCTGAGCCGAAGGCAGATGCTTAACTGACTAAGCCACCCAGGCGCCCTGGGTTGGTATTTCAAATACTTGCTACCTCATAGAGGATTTTCACTACCTGATTTAGGGCTTGCAGTAAAGCTACAGTAAGCAAGATCGTGCCGTATTGGCCTAAGAATGGACAATGGGATCCAGGGAAGAGTCCAGGAGTAGACTCACACACATTTGGTCAACTGATTATCAACAAAGACATCAAGGTGTCTTTGATGGGGAAAAGAAAGTCTTTAATTTTACGTGATGCCCAAACAACTGAATATTCATATATTAAAAAATGAGCATTGACCCTTACCTCTCATCATACTCAAAAATTATTTTGAAGTAGATTACAGACCTAAACACACAACCTAAAACTATATAGCTTCTAAAAGGGAACAGAGGATAAATTTTTCATGACCTTGCAGAAGGCAAAGTTTTCTTGAACAGGTCACAAAATCACAAACTATTAAAAAAAATTGATACATTGAACTTCATCAAAATTTTTTTTAGATCAAAAGACACTGTTAAAAAAACAGACAAGCCAGCCTTTTATGAAGACGGCGCTGAAGGCTAAGAAGGAAGCCCCTGCCCCTCCCAAAGCCAAAGCCAAAACAAAAGCAAAGGCTTTGAAGGCCAAGAAAGTGGTGCTGAAAGGCATCCACAGTCACAAATAAAAGAAGATCTGCACGTCACCTATATTCCGATGACCCAAGACACTGCGCCTGTGGAGGCAGCCCAAATATCCTCGAAAGAGCGTCCCCAGGAGAAACAAGATTGATCACTGTGCCATCATCAAGTTCCCCCTGACTACTGAGTCAGCTATGAAGAAAATAGAAGATAACAACACACTTGTGTGCATTGTGGATGTCAAGGCCAATAAGCACCAGATCAAACAGGCTGTGAAGAAGCTCTATGACATTGACGTGGCTAAAATCAACACCTTGATCAGGCCTGATGGA